ATGAGCTGAGACCCCCTACACTCTAAAGGAGGGGACCAAGGACAGCAACTCCTTCTCCCAGCATAAGAGCTTGCCCATTCTCGATTCTGTTTATGTTCTAAATAGAAATCAGGTTTCCCAATCAGGTGGGGTGATGCCTAACCTAGTTAAGGAAAATGTGCTTTGGAGGCTAGGAGAAGATTGCATTACTGTTACACTCTTCTAAAACTGCCTGACCTTTTCAGAAGTGGGGTCTTAACAGAAATAAGAAGAAAAGGATAGATCACAAGTTAATAATTAGTTATTAATAGTAGAATATTAATTTCTTCTGATGCTGAGTGAAGTGAGCAGAACCAGGAGAACGCTGTACACAGTAACAGCCATGTTGTGAGATGACTAACGTTAATAGACTTAGCCCTTCTCAGCAATACAAGCATCTAAGACATCTCCAAAGGTCTCATGATGGAAAATGCTATCCACATCCAAAGAAAGAACTAAGGAGTTTGAATGCAGATCGAAGCATACTATTTGCTATTTTTTCTTCTGTTTTGTTTTGTTTTCTCTTTCTGGTGGTTTTTTCTATTGGTTCTAATTCTTCCTTACAACATCACTAATGTGAAAATATGTTTAATAGGAATGACGGATAGCCTATATCAGATTGTGAGCCATCTTGGAGAGGGTAGGGGGGAGGGAGGGGGAGAAAAATGTAACTCAAAAGCTTATGGAAGTGATTGTGGATAAATCAAAATAAATTAATAAAAAAATATTTTAAAAGAGAATATAATTTCTTTCAGCAGCCAGCTTAGTATCTATACTTTCAGGATCAAGAAGTGACCTTCAGGACTCAGCCTAGTAATAGCTCAGCTGGGGACTCATCCAGCTGTCATTGGATGTAAAGTTGATGGCATGATGTTATGTAGGAAGAGTTGGCCCATTTTCTATAGATACTAAGGTAGGATAGGGGACAGTGTGCCCCCAGGCATTGGCGTGAAATTTTGTACTTTTGTGATCCCTATATCTAAATATCCCTTTAAAAAAGCTAATTGATGTTAAGTTGTTAAATGGAATTGGGTTGCCACTTACTGGCACCTAACAGTGGGGGAACCACAACTGAGGGGAGCTCAAGTTGACAGCGTTAGAGAAGAGAAATTTCCAACCCCCTTGGAAGTGCCCTAGACCCCCAAGGAGGAAGTGTAACAGGACTCACCCTAGGAGAGAGGGGACCATTCCTGGCTATACTTGATAACTAGTTTCTGAACTGCTAGGGAAAGGCAAATGTGTGTGTGTGTGTGTGTGTGTGTGTGTGTAACATATGTATTATATATGTGTATATATGTAACAAATGTTTTACCTTTATATAAGTAATATTTTTAATTGCAGAAACTTTTGGAATTATTAGTTTTCATTTTTCCACCTTTAAAATTTTGGTGCCCTGGGACAAAGTCCCAGTTACCCTGACTTACTTGTGTCTGTTTCACATCCATACATTCATTTCTTTTTTTAAATGTTTTATTGATCCTTGTTGTCTTTGTAGCAGTCATTTCAACACCCTCCCCCTTCAAACTGAATTCTCCCTTGTGAAAAAGAAAAACAAGAAAGCAAAAACATCGAATAGAGTGATTGTACCTGACAAGGAACACAAGCTTCTGCCCTAGGAGTCCCCACCTCTGCGCCTGGAGGGAGGATGTGTTTCATCTGTTCTGCAGAATCTTCAGTGGTTTTCCAATGGTTGCTCCATCTTCATTGGTTTCTTTCAATTCAACTTTCAGGGATTGTTTCATTTACATTGTTGTGGTCCTCATGTGCATTCTTCTCCTGGTTCTGTTTATTTCTGTTCATACATGTGGAACTTGTATCAGTTCATACATAAAATGACCTCATCACTCAAATAAAACCTCCCTTTCCAAAGTTACTAATGGTGTCTTAATTACCAAGCCTAATAGCATCTTGTTTCTCATCCTTCTTGACCACGCTACAGTATTTGACACTGGTGCTCATTTGCTCCTACGTTCTCTCTCATCACTGGGTTCTGGTGACTGTTCTTTCCTGGTTCTCTTCTTACTTCCAACAGCTACTTCTCATTCCCTCTTGCCAAATCTTCATTCATGTTGTGCTCACTAAGTGTGGGTACCCTTCAATGTTCTGTCCTGGGCCCTCTTCTCTTTTCTCTCCTCTCTCTCTCTCTCTCTCTCTCTCTCTCTCTCTCTCTCTCTCCTCTCTCGGGAGTTTCATCAACTCTCATGCGTTCAATCATTATCTCTATGCAGATGATTCCTAGATCTGTATATTCAATGCTACTCTCTTTTCTGAGCTCCAATATCACTTCACCAACTCCCCAGTGGATGTCTTAAACTACATGTCTGGTGTCTCAAACTCAACATTTCCAAAACAGAAAACACTGTCCTTCCCTCAAAAACCAATCCCTTACTAAACTTCCCTCTTACTGTTGAGGGCCTCACCTGCCTTCAGTCACCATGTTCACAACCTCAGTGTGGTCCTTCATTCCTTTATGTCACTCACCCAACATATCCAATCAGTTTGCCAAATCCTGTACTTTTTTTTCTATAAAACACCATTCATCATCATCCCCTTTTCTGTACTTGCATAGCCACTATCCTAGCTTATGCCTTCATCACCTCTTAGCTACATGATTACAATAGCTTCCTAACTGGTCTTCTGACTCAAGTCTTTGCTGACTCTAATCTATCCTTCACAGAGCTACCAAAGTAATTCTTCTAAAGCATTTGACCACGTCCACATCCACCTACCCAATAAACTCTAGTGGCTCCTTATTATCTCCAAGATCAAATTTTATGGCCACTCTTTGGTATTTAAAACTCTTCTCAACCTAATACCTCTCTCCCTTTCCAACCTTCTTACATTTTACCACCCTCCACAAACTCCTCTCCTGCCATACTGTACCATTTGCTGCCATTCCCCATGCCTAGAATAAGCTCCCTCCCAACCTGCCTACTTTTAAGATGCAGCTCAAGGCTAGTCTTCTCCAGGAGGCCTTTCCTGGTGTCCTCCCTCCCACCCCAGCCACTAGTTAGTTACCTTCCATCCATTCTGTACTAAGTCCCAATTTATATTTGTTGTTGTTCTCATCAGACATATGAGCATTAACATATGAGTAAATTCTTTGCGGGAAAAAATGGTTTTTGCCTTTCTCTGCATCTCTAGCATTTAGCACAGCACCTAGTTCCCCATCTCACCACTGAGCAATTTTTTAAAATTTAAAAGCAAATCTTTTAATTCATAACTACATAGCACAGTAAAACAAATTCCTACATTTACCATGTCCAAAAGTGTGCTTCTCTTTCTGCATTTTAAATTCATTGCTTCTTTCGGAAGCTGAGTTGCATGGTTCATCTTCATTCCTTTTGATTTGAGGTTTACCATTATATTGATCAGAGTTTTGAAGTTTTTCAAAGTTATTTTTCTCTATAACATCGATATTAATGTATAAATTGTTCTAGGTCTACTCACTTCACTCTAAATAAGTTCAGTAGCAGCTAGGTGGTGCAGTGAATAGAGCACTGACCCTGGAGTTAGAAGGACCTGAGTTCAAATATGGCCTCAGACACTTGACACTTACTAGCTGTGTGACCCTGGGCAAGTCACTTAACCCCACCGCCTAGCCAAAAAAAAAAACAAACTTAAATCAGTTCATAAAGACCTTCCCTAATTCCTCTGAAATTGTCTGTTTCATCATTAAAATCCAGTGCCTTCTTTTAATTATTTGATATTATCATGTCTATAACTTGCTTGTATATATTTGTTTTCATGTTGTCTCCTCCATTAGACTATGAACTCCTTGAGGGCAGAAACTGTTTTTTGTCTCTTTTTTTTTTTTTGGATTCCCAGTGGTTAGCACAATGCCTAATACATAGCAGTTAATTAATAATGTTTCTTGATTGATTGATTCTTATGGCACAATAATATTCAACTATGTTCATATACCACAATTTGTTCAGCCATTCCCCAAAAAATGAGCATTCAGGTTTTTTTTGGTTACCTCAAAAAAAAGCCATTATAAACACTTTTGTAAATAGAGGTCCCTTTCCTCTTTCTTTGATGTCTGGTGAATAGGCCTAATCATGGTATAGCTGGGTCAAAAAGTGTCTGATATCTGTGTGAACATAGCTTCAAATTGCTTTCTAGAATATTGGCCTTCTATTTTAGTATACCAAGCTCTTTTTGGACCCTAACTCAATTATGCTAAAAAATCTCTCCCAACTTTGTGACGTCTGAAAATTTGATAAACATGCCATCTGAGACTTTATCTAAGTCATTAATAAAATTTAATACAGGGGCAGCTAGGTGGCACAGCGGATAAAGCACAGGCCCTGAAGTCAGGAGGACCTGAGTTCAAATCCGGCCTCAGACCAAACACTTGACGTGTACTAGCTGTGTGACCTTGGGCAAGTCACTCAACCCCGATTGCCTCACTTAAAGAAAAAAAAAAAAGAAAATTTAATACTCTCTAGGATCCAGGATAGATCCCTGGACAACCTAAGTTGACATTTTCCCACTAATGATTACTCTGAGTACAACCATTCAATAAGCTCTGAATTCTTTTAATTGCATCCTCATCTCTCCACCTTTTCCATAAGAATGACAGGACACACTTTATCACACATTTGGGTGAAATCTAGGTAAATTTTATCTCTAGCAATCTCCTCATATAATTCTTTAGGAAGCTTATCAGGAAGAGTTCTGATAACTTAGTCAAACTCTCAGAAAAGGGAATGAGGCTCACCTGGCAGGTCTTCAGATCCCTGCTTCCTTTTCTAGATTTTTATAAGGCACAGAAAGAAGACTTCATCCCTTTGACGACATGTTCTAGAATTTTGCCAAGAATCAAAGTCAAGGTCACAGGCCTGTTGTTGACCAGTCTCTTCCCTTTCTTTGAAAATCATCACAAGGGGTAGCTAGGTGGTGCATTGGACAGAGCACTGATCCTGAAGTCAGGAGGATCTGAGTTCAAATCCGGCCTCAGACCAAACATTTGACACTTACTAGCTGTGTGACCCTGGGCAAGTCACTTAATCCCAACTGCCTTTAAAAAAGAAAAAACAGAAAAGAAGAAAATCATCCCAGGCATTTCCAGCCCCCCAATCCTCTCCTAATCTCCACAGTCTTTTGAATATCACTGAGAGTGCCTCAGCAATCACATCTGCTAGTTTTTTGACCTCTTGACACTGTGGTTCACCAGTCCCAGTAGGATCCTGTATTCAACAGAGTCAGCTCTTAGTAGCTATGTGCCTGCCTGCAGATGTGGGCTGGTCAGCTGGCAAAGAGAATATTAGAGCTGAACACCCCAAGGGGCAGGTAGGGGGTGGGATGGATAGAGCCAGGCTTGGAATCAGGACTTTGTAAATTCAAATCAGGCCTCTGACACTTACTTAGCTGTGTGAGCCTGGGCAAGTCACTTAACCCTGTTTGCCTCAGTTCCTGATACATAAAATGAGCTGGAGAAGGAAATGGCGAACCACTCCAGTATCTCTGCCAAGAAACCCCCAAAGGGCTTCATGAAGAGTCCAACATGACTGTAAGATGAAACAATAACAAACACCCAGAGCCCCAATTAAATCAACAGAGCAAATTCGTTTCCCAGGATGCTTGAATTTAAAAGAAAAGCTGACATGCTCTGGCTGGAGGGTCAGTTGTGCGGGAAGGCAATCCTAAACTTTCTGAGTAAACAAGCAAGGCCACCTTCATCAGGGGCTGCAGGGAGGAGCCTTTCCTCAAGGAAGGACTTTCCAGTGAATTGCTGCTAACTCATCTGATAGAAAGCCTGAGGGGCTTTCCTTCCAGGCTCTGGTTTCAATGATCTAGTCACAGATGCCAAGGTTATTTGCCTCTGAGTTCCCTGGGAAGGAAATGTGAATGGCAACACCATCTGGTTAGAGATGACAGTGAAAAGAAAAGTTCCTAACTTTTTCTTCCTTTGCTTCAGTTGGGAAGCTGTGAGATATCAGAACAGAAGGCCGGGGCTCAGAAGGAAGGCCAAGGATCTGAAGGAAGGCCAGGGTTCTAAATGCCAGCTGCAGCTTTGCCTGGTAGAAAAGGGAGGCCCAGAACACACACTTCTGTTTCATTTCTTACTTCAGTGAATCAATCATCACATATTTATTAAAAGCTTACTGTGCACCAGGCACTAGAGACAGAAGGATGAGGAATTAAATAATCCCCACTCGCTAGGGAATTAGCTCACATTCTAATAAGAGAGGCAATGTGAACATATATAAATACGTACAGAATAAATGTAAAGAGAATGATCACAAAGTAATTCAATGCATGGTAGCTTGCACTATAGTTTGGGGGAATCAGGAAAGACCTGATGCAGAGCTTGAGCTGTCTTGAAGGAAGAGAGAGACTATGAGGTAGAAATGAGGAGGGGGTGAATTCCAGCCATGGATGACCAGTGCAAAGGCCCAAAGATGAGATGAAGAATCATGTGGGTGAGGAACAGAGAGCCAGTGCAGCTGAATTAAAGAGTGAAAAAGAAAAGATGTGAGGGGCTTTAAAAACTAAACAGAGGAGCTCATATGCTGCCCTGGAGGCAGTTAGGAGTGACTGGAGTTTAGTGAGTAAGGGAATAACATGGACAGATTTGTACTTAGGAAAAATCATTTTGATAGCAACGTGGAAGACGGCCAAGTGTGGGACCAATCAGGAAGTAGTCAAAATTATCTAGGCCAGAGCAGACAAGAGGTCAGAGGTCAAAAATGGTGAAAAGGTAGAAATGGCAAGGTTTGCCAATTAAGAGATTATTGGTAATATTTTTGTTGAGTCATTTTAAGTAGTGTCTGACTCTCTGCGACCCCATTTTGGTGTTTTCTTGGCAAAGATACTGAAATAGTCTGCCATTTCCTTCTCCAGCTCATTTTACAGATGAGAAACTGAAGCAAATAGGATTAAATGATTTGCCCAGAGTCCCGCATCTAGTAAGTGGTTGAGGTCAGATTTGAACTCATGAAGATGAATCTTCCCAATTCCAAGTCTAGTGCTCTATCTACTGTGCCACACAGCTGCCCCATTGGTAGCATTGGAAACAGATTATAGAAGAGAAGAAAGGAAATGGAGCCCCAGAGAATAGATTGCCTTTTTGAAGAGTTTAGATGAGTAGGGGAAGAGAAATCTAGGATAGTCACTGGCAGGGATGGTAGGATCCAGTGAGGGCTTTTTAAAGATTAGGCAGATATAGACATGTCTATAGGCAGCAAGGAAAGACTGGTATAGAGGAGACAGAAGATGAAAAAGAGAGTGGGGATGGTAGTGGAGAAAAAAGGAGGGAGATGAGATCAAGGGTGTGTCTAGAGACATTGGCCTTAAGAAGAGCTCCACCTCTTCATCAGAGACTGAAATGAAGAGATAGTGGAAGATGAGGGAAGAGGAATATAAGAAGAAGAGAAGGGGAAAAGAGAAAGCTCTCAGTCACTGGCTTCAATGTGTGTGTGTGTGTGTGTGTGTGTGTGTGTGTGTGTGTGTGTGTGTAGTATAAGGCAAATTTCTTGACTGAGAGTAAGGGAAAGGTACCTTTGGAAGCTTGAGAAGATATGACAAGGTTTGGAATGGCCTTGGTGGTGGGCAAGAGGAGTAGAAAGATTGCCTTGCTTCACTGAGGCAATTGAGTTGAGATTAAGTAACATAAATTTATAGTGAACCCAATTAGCACCATTTTGTGATTTCCTCCAGGTTTGCTCAGGAACATGTGAATAAAAGTGAAGGAGGAAGACAGCAGGAATAATCCAGGGTTGAGGGTTGGCAACATCATTGTTAATAGAACAGAGCTGATCTGGGTCAACAAGCATTTACTAAGCACTGTACTAAGTGCTGGTAATAGAAAGAAAGAAAGGAAAGAAAGAAAGAAAGAAAGAAAGAAAGAAAGAAAGAAAGAAAGAAAGAAAGAAAGAAAGAAAGAAAGAAAGAAAGAAAGAAAGAAAGAGAAGAAGAAGGAAAGAGAAAGAAAGAAAGAAGAAAGAAAGAAAGAAAGAAAGAAAAAAGAAAGAAAGAAAGAAAGAAAGAGAGAGAGAGAAAGAGAGAAAGAGAAAGAAAGAGAGAAAGAGAGAAAGAGAGAGAGAAAGAGAGAAAGAGAGAGAGAGAGAGAGAAAGAGAGAAAGAGAGAAAGAAAGAGAGAAAGAGAGAAAGAGAGAAAGAGAGAAAGAGAGAGAGAAAGAAAGAAAGAAAGAAAGAAAGAAGAAAGAAAGAAAGAAGAAAGAAGAAAGAAAGAGGGAAGGAAGGAAGGAAGGAAGGAAGGAAGGAAGGAAGGAAGGAAGGAAGAAAGAGAGAAAGAGAAAAGAGAGAAAAGAGAAAGAAGAAAGAGAGAAAGAGAGAAGAAAGAAAGAAAGAAAGAAAGAGAGAGAGAAAGAAAGAAAGAAAGAAAGAAAGAAAGAAAGAAAGAAAGAAAGAAAGAGGGAAGGAAGGAAAGAGAAGAAAGAAAGAGAGAGAAAGAGAGAAAGAGAGAGAGAGAGAGAAAGAGAGGAGAGAGAGAAAGAGAGAAGAAAGGAAGAAGAAAGAAAGAAGAGAAAGAAAGAAAGAAAGAAAGAAAGGAAAGAAAGAAAGAAAGAAGGAAGGAAGGAAGGAAGGAAGGAAGGAAGGAAGGAAGGAAGGAAGGAAGGAAGAAAGAGAGAAAGAGAGAAAGAAAGAAAGAAAGAAAGAAAGAAAGAAAGAAAGAAAGAAAGAAAGGAAGGAAGGAAGGAAGGAAGGAAGGAAGGAAGGAAGGAAGGAAGGAAGAAGAAGAGAGAAAGAGAGAAAGAAAGAAAGAAAGAAAGAAAAGAAAGAAAGAAAGAAGAAAGAAAGAAAGAAAGAAAGAAAGAAAGGAAAGGAAGGAAGGAAGGAAGGAAGGAAGGAAGGAAGGAAGGAAGGAAGAATGGAAGAAAGGAAGAACGGAAGAACGGAAGGAAAGAAGGAAAGAAAGAAAGAAAGAAAGAAAGAAAGAAAGAAAGAAAGAAAGAAAGAAAGAAAGAAAGAAAGAAAGAAAGAAAGAAAGAAGAGAAAGGAAGGAAGGAAGGAAGGAAGGAAGGAAGGAAGGAAGGAAGGAAGGAAGACCTGACCTCAAGGAATTTGCATTCTAATAGGGGAAAAACAATACAGTATATAAAGGGAGGTTGAATGGGGGCAGAAGGAAAGGCACCTGGGCAGGAACATGGTAAAGAAAATCCAGAGAGTCCAAAGTAGAATGAAGAAATGACTAGCCTGGGCATTTTCCTTAAAATAAAGAGTCTGAGAGGAACCAGCCAATCAGAGAAAGGGGCTGCAGAGGTGAAAAGTATGTTCAGTGTGAGAAATTTAGAAGTGCAGTAAACTTTCAGGGCAGTCAGACTTCTGTGACAAAGGGGCAAAGGATTCAAGAGTAGACAGTAGCATCAAGTCAAACTGGTTTACTAAGGAAGGGATCAGAGCATAGCCAAGGTAGAAGTGATGGACCGAAAGGACTGCGGCTCATGGCGAGGATGAAGAACAGAGTTAATGGTAATAAGGTACAAAGAAAGACGGAATGTTATTATGGAAAGATTATTAACAGATCAAAGAATTTCTGAGTTGAAGAATATGCAAGTGGAATATCTTTGGGTATAGCAAGATCAAGGGTATAATCATCTCTTTGTGTAGCAAAGGTAGAATTGAGAAGCAGACCATGGATACAGAATAGACAGAGCAACTTGGGAAGCCAGAGTAGTTGAGGGAACATAAGTATGTATGTTAATGTCTTCTAGTATGAGGATGGAAGTTGGGTTGAAAAGAAAATCTTCAAGTCAAGTACTGAACTCCCTGAGAAAGAAGGGAAAATGACCAGAAGTTTGGTCACTCCCTGGGGGCAGTAGTCATGAGGACCTAGTTTGTGTGATCAGTTTTGATGGTGTGGCAGGATTACAGTCTAGAAGTAACAATGGAGAACATTCTGACTCCCCCAGTATGATTGGAGTATGAGAGTGTGGGGCATATGAGAGAAAACATAGCCAGTATTGGGGAAAGAGTAGTCAAGGACACAGTGTTTTCAGGAGAAAACCAGGTCTTAGTGACTGCCAGAAGACAAAAGGAGAGAGAAAAGAGATTTAAGATGAAATGAAATTTGTTAATTACGCAGCAGGCATGCCAGAGAGCACAGTGGATGGAATGGGCAAATCTGGAGCAGGACATTCAGGAAGGTAGGACTGATATAAATAAGAGAAAAGATAGCAGAGGTTAGGAAACAGGTTTGTTTAGCAGTAACTGGGTGTAAGGGGGAGGTGGTCATTGAGTAACACTGGGATAGAGAAAGTAGAGGGTTGATGGTATTGAGGAATGAATGCTGGCATTATTCCCCATCAGAGGCTAGGAAGAGATCCACTGAGGCATACACTTGATTAAATGGTTCAGTGTCCTTCCTTGAGGTTCAGTCTAGTGTGTGGTTTTATCTTGAAGGGCTCCTAGAGGCCAGAGCAGTCAGGAGCAGGAGCAGATATAACTCCAAAAGTCTTGGAGCCCAGTGAGGAATCAGGCAGGACATGTAAGTAGTGTAGATGCTAGAGAGGCCAGCCACCACCCCAGCTCAGACCCAAATCACTTTGCACCTAGACTATCAAAATAGCTTCCTAATAAGTCTCCTTGCCTTAAGTCTCTCTTCTGTCCAATCCATTCTCCACTCAGCTGCCAAAGTATAGGTCTTACCATGTCATTCCTCTGCCCTGTGAACTCCATTGGCTCCCCATTACTGCCAGGGTCAAATGCAAACTCCTCTATTCAGCATTATTGCATGGACTCCTTTGCTCAGTCCTGGAAGGGGGAAAGCAAATGGTAGACTAAAACAACTGAACCCTATTTTTCCTAAAACTCCCATTGGGAGCAGTCAGTGGAGCCTTGGCAGTACCTGGAACCATGTCTAAACACTGTTGGGTGGCAGTCAGAGTCTAGGAGAAGAGAAGGATAGCTGAATATTAAGATAATATTATCTTATTGCTTTTACTGATTCTAAGCCAAAAGTAGAAAAACTGTATACAGTATGTCCATCTGTGTGGGTGGTCAACTCATTCCAAAATGATGCAACCAAGACTCCGTGAGGCAAGGAGGAGGCAGAATGGTCCAGTGGGTGAAGGCTCAGAGCTAACGTAATTAGATGAATTCACACTAATCATACCTCTTAGTCTGCTGAGATGAGCTCAGATACCATGGAGAGAGGGAGCTGGGAGATTATTAGATTGTGGGCTTCCCCATTAGACTGTGAGCTCCTTGAGGGAAGGTACTGGTTTTTGCTTCCTTTCCTATCACTTAATATAGTGCCTGGAACACAGTAGGCACTTAATAAAGGTTTATTGATTGATTGTGATAAAGCCCTGATAATTACAATTCACTTGGCTCTTCTCTAACACTGGCCCCTCGGTGGGATAGAGTGCATAATCACAAGGGTGAGTGTGGGAGTTCACAGGGCAAATTACTTTTCATGTAAAGGATTAGGTGAGTGGTTAGCAGCGCCACCTTCTGTTTAAAAAGTTAGATACATCCTTGATATATGTCATCCTTTACGGCACTTCTTCAAGCTCTTTTCCTGTGTTAAATTATACCATCAGGAAGCAAAACACATGGACCATGTTGTCTCCCCATGCTACTGTTATCATTGGGTCATGATTAATGTGATGTTTTCCATCTTTATAGAGGATAGATTAAAGACTTTGAACATTTGGATATCTTTTACAAAATTTTCAGTGAAGACATATCTGCCCTGCTGTCTAATGCCCTTGATACAAGGACTCTTTTGATAAATTATTTTCAGAATTTAGTTCCAAGAAACAGTTTTCCTCTGCAGACAGCCCTGCATGCTTTTTTTAAGGCAAAACACAGTGCATCCCAGCATGCTCCTCTTAATTTTAGAGTCTAATTCAGTGACCAATGGCAGGAATTAGCTCATCTCAAGGATCTGCCAACTTCTACTCCCCATGCTCATTTTAGCAGGTTTCTGTTCTGGTTTTATCCTTAATTGTTCTATTTTACATTTACTTTTCATTTTATGAGACACCTCAAAGGTCAATAGTGAGGTGCACGGTAAGCATAAGTAGACTGCAGCATATTCTAACCAATGATTTGATGGAAAAAAATGGTTTAAAGAAGGTTATCCAGGAAATATATGATGCTAAAAAAAAAAAAAGAGATGGATCAGTCAGTAATGAGATCAAAGGATAACATGTGGCACCTTACACGCTGCTCTGGTACCTAGGAAATGTTAAAAGGCTAGAGGACAGCCTCTAGCACAATGAAGGAATATTTTTTGGAGAATTTCTGATTCAGTATGGACAAAAATAATATAATAAAGCATGCATGGGTTTCAATCTACAGCATTAGAGCTAGCACCCACATCAATAAGATCATGGATCCATTGAAGTAAGCCACCTCAAATACTTTTAGAAGAGGAAGGAAGGAAGGAAGGAAGGAAGGAAGGAAGGAAGGAAGGAAGGAAGGAAGGAAGGAAGGAAGGAAGGAAGGAAGGAAGGAAGGAAAGAAAGATATGGCAGTAGTTTAGTTTTTAAAATTTCTAGAATTAACACATGAAATATAAGAAAAAATATACAAATAAAATTGAATTTATATACTAAGGGAACACTGGATTTATAACTCACAGTTGGGTCTCTATAGAGTGCCTACTATCTTATTAAAATCACTATACCAGGAAGCAGCTTGGGGGAATATTTGATTCCCGCCACACACACACACACCATTTTCCCTTCCCAGTTTAGTAAATTGGGATCTTCCAAGAAGAATATATTGAGGCAACTAGGTGGTACACTGGATAGAGTTCTGAGCCTGGCTTCAAGAAGACCTAAGTTCAAATCCAGCTACAGACAGTTATTAGCTATGTGATTCTGGGTATTTCACTTAAGCTCTGCCTCAGTTTCTTCACTGTAAAATGAGATTCATAATAGTACCTACCTCACAGAATCATTAAGATATAATATTATATATATAATATATATTGTACAATGTATATAATATAATAAAATATGATATAATATTTGTAAAGTGTTTAGCACCGTGCTTGGCCCATAGTAGACATTTAATAAGATTTTTGTATTCCAAGCACACACAAGGGAACAACTGGCTAATTACACCACACTGAATAAATATATAATTTTAATAGGAAGTAGCAAGCACATGAACTTTCAAGGTAACTTCTAGCTCAGCTCAGACAAACGAATTCATCAAAAGTGACTACTATAAATTGAAAATGTAATTCCTAACAATGAAAGGCAGCACACATAGTAGATAAAGGGCCATCCTTGGAGTCAGGAAAAACTAGATTCAATTCTGGCTTTATTATAAATCTAAAGATAAGAGTCACATATGAATTCATATAAACAGGATGGAATTATATTAAATCTCCTGACCCCAGAGTTGGCTCTAATATAAAGCCACATAGACGTATCTGATCCAAACAGAGAAACGAGACAGACAGGCAGAAAAAAAATAGAGACAAAGACTGAAAGAGAGAGACAGAGAAAAAGAGACAGACAGAGGCAGAGACAAAGTCAGAGAGAGAGGCCCAAAGAGAAGATAAAGGGTCTAAGAGTCTTTGCACCAAGAAGGGAGACCAAAGAAGGAAGAGAGGGGTGTGTGTGTGTGTGTGTGTGGTGTGTGTGTGTGTGTGTGTGTATGTGTGTGTAAGAGACAGAGAGAGAGAAAGAGACAGAGAGAAAGAGAAAGAATCAAGGAAAACCATGTGGTTTTTAAAAGGCCCTTCCCAACTCTCGTCATGTCACACAGTTATCATCCTCTATTCTTTAGCTAGGCGGTACAGTGGATAGAGAGCCTGGCCTGGAATCAGGAAGACTCAACTTCCTGAGTTCAAATCCAGCCTCAGACACTTTCTAGCTACGTGACTCTAGACAAGTCACGTAACCCTGTCAGCCCCAGTTTCTTCATCTATAAAATGAGCTGGAAAAGGAAATAGGAAACCACTCCAGTATCTTTGCCAAGAAAACCCCAAATGGGCTCACAAAGAGTTGGAAATGACTCAAACAGCTCAATAACAATAACAACATTTTTCAGCACCCCTTAAGCACTGGAAGCAAAACCACACCTTCCATATTCTAAACTCTGTAACATATCTGAGGGCTAGTCAAGGCATTCTAGTCCCTTTTAAAAGATTAATCAAGTTTTGGGCCTGGGAAGTCCTACCCTGTTAACAGCAGAAAGCTGCCTCCTGAATCCAGTCATTCGTTGAGACTCACTTCCTTGAGACCTGTCAAAGCAGTTCTATCAAAGATATCCAGCAAGCACTCCAAATGCTTATACAGTACAATACAATAAACTGTAGTTCATAAGAGAACAAAGCCCTTGAAGAAAGGGACTACTTTTGCTTTTGGGCTTTTGTATCCTCAGTGCACATAGTACTTGGCTCATAGTAAGGACTTAATAAATGCTTTTCTTTTTTCACTCATTCCTTTTCTTTAAGAAGAGAGTCAGAAGTATTGGATAGAGCCCATAGTTATAAGATAATAAATTAAGAGCAGGAAGACATCTTTGAAACCATCTGGTCCAAGGGTTCTAAACCTAGAGTCCTTGAACTTGTTGGAGCTTTTTGGACATTTTGATAACTATTTCAGTATAACTGGTTTGCTATATAATCCTATGTATTTTATTTTGTGTATTAAAAAACATTGCTGTTAAGGGTTCCCCAGTCTACCAAAGGGATACATGACCCCCCAAAAAGAAAAAAACCCTTGAATCTATCCCAATTCCCACCTTTTACAACTGAGGAAACTGAGGCCTAATATCCCCAATAACTTGATCTCCTTGACAAGCGGAGAAATATGGTGGCCATGCGCAATACTGATGCAAAATTTACAAAACATCAGGAAAGAAGAAGCTGAATATGTAAATATATTCATAGAAGAACTTTGTGATGTAGGAAAAATGTAAAAATAAAATCCCTTTGATTGGGGAATGACTCAATTATAACATGTGAATAAATACAATACTATTATACTGCAAGAAACGACAAATATTGATTAATTAATTAATGAGAAAACATTTATTAAGTGCTTACTATTTTCCAAGCACTGTGTTAAATGCAGAGATGCCAAAAAAAAAAGAACCCCAAGACAGTACCTGCCTTCAAGGAGCTTACACTCTAATGTAACAACATATATAAGGCAGTGTTGGCTAGGGAGGAGTATTTTGGTTTGGAAAGTTACAAGAATAGTGAAGGGAGCCATAGGAGAATAGATTATCGTACTCTTTCTAGTAGCAGTAACATTCATTCCTGTGAGACCTCAGGAGAGATGGCAAGGAGATGATTGTGGTGTAAAGCAGAGTGTAGACAGGGTCTACAAGATATAGTGGGCTATACTTCAGTAGTAGATAATAATAATGACATTTCTATTAATACTCTAAGGTTTTCAAAGTCCTTATCTCCCAACCACTCTCTGAGGTAGGTGATGTAGATATTATTATTCCCATTTGACAAATGAGGAAACTGAGGCTCAGAGAGAGATGATGTGACTTAGCTTTGGTCTCCCAGCTTGTGCCAGAAACACGATTTGAACTTAGATTCCCCTAACTCCAAGTCAAATGCTCTTTCCTTTACTTGCATACACAGTCCCTCAGGATGCCCCCATAGAATCAAATGAAAAAAAAAAAGTTTACCCATTGGATATATGTCCAAAAAGATAGAGACACTTAATTATTCTCCTAGAGAGTAACACAAAAGTATGCTCATTTGAGGGAAGCAGAAACACTATAAAGGGCTTAGCTAGTTTAAGCTGAATTAACTGAGTTAAATTTTT